AGATCTGCGTCTGGTCTCCGACAAAAAAAAAATTAAAAAAAATAAACCAAGGGTAGAACATGAACCGCGCTCGGCCCATGGCCGCGCGGTTAAAAACAATTTGAAAGTTGTATCTGTGTGGACTCAGGTAAAATGCAAAAAAAAAAGAAAGAAAAAAAAATTCAAAAGTGCTATCCGGTTAGGAAAAAAATTAACATAAATGTTATACAGTATACCGTCTTTTTTTCAGTAAGGGGAAATGGATTGTCATTTTAGCCACGCAAAATGTTTCCTTTCCTGTTACGCCCTCTTATTCGTCACGTTCTCTTTTCGAATCGCTGTTTTCATTTTCTCGACACACGGTCATATGCTAATCATACAAAGAGCTGCCTTTTTATTTTATCGTTGGGAGCGGGTGGACATTTTCGCTAAATTGCTAATAAAGTCAATGAATGTTATCGCCTGTTAGGTTCATTAATTTTCTACAGTCGCGAAAATGAAGCCTCAAGAAATATGACCTGTCAATTTTACCAAATGAAGCGCGCTCAATTAGTGAGAATAAATCATTTTATTTTATACGTCCTGATTTTAATTTCATGACAATATCGAACTCTTGCTGCCGAGACGCAACGGCAAATGTCGATTCTGGGAATCCGCTGGTGTGTTATTATTTTTTGAGATCAATTTGATGACTGCCTTGCTCAGTTTCACTCGCCGCATGTCTTTCATCCGCTGTGAGTACAGTGAGAAGGTAAAAGATATTATTTTAGACGTTTTCCAACCCCTAGATGTTTGCCTTGTGGTCCACAGATCTGATAGCAAGAGCTTTGAAAGCCATATTGTTTTCTTTATTCTTATTAATTTTTCCCTCGCAGCACATTGTTTTCACCAATAAGTTTTTGCGGTTATCTCTTTACAAACATTGGTTTTCCTCCTACATTTGAATTTATCACTAAGTGCGTCAAGTCTGCTATGTTCAATGGTTATTTCACCAAAAAAATTCTGACTCAAATTAAATAGGGTTATATACAAGCGCCTTTGTACCCAATGC